CTCAACATTCTACAACATCAAGAAAGCCATATTTTAGATAACGTGATTTTTCTTGCTTTAGAAAAGATTCCATAATTCTCATTATTGATCTTCTATTGCTGCCTCGGTAGATTGACAGTAGGACTGGCCATTGCTCCTTTATATTCTGCCCCCAACTGGCTTTTGGTATATTATCTCTCTGACTTAATTAACTTCTCTGCCTGGCTTGACTCATCTCCGTCACTGCATAAGGATAGAACAATCCTGCCTAAGCTATGTATTCAGTCAGGGAAAGAGACTCTGAAAGCTCAAAGTTTCTAACAGCATCAGCTGGCACTTAGCCTGGACAAATCTATTTTAATAAAATGAAAAATGTAAATTAGTGCTCATGCTGCACAGGATTCTTACTGGTGACACCATAGTATTGTTTTTCCCCCAAACTATTATTGGTTTAAATCTATGTTAATAAATAATAATTACTTTTAAACAGAAGTAATATATTTTATTTTTTTAAAACAGGAAAGAAAAAAACCCATTTCCTATAGTGTTAAATTAATGTTTCTATACACTTGGCACCAACATTTGCAACTATTGTAAAAAAAAATTCACAGTTGTATTTTAATCCCTTCATTTTAAAAAAGTTTTTAAAGAAATATGTAATAAATTATTTCTTTCATGTTCAGATTAAGATATCATAATTCAAGCTCAGAGTATTTTAAATTATCACCCATTAGTAAGTCAGATATGGATATAGACGTTTATAGAGTTGCATTCTATTGCACTGTAAGTAGATCATGAGAGCAGGTTATTTCCAATCGTCTTGCTTCCTTTAAGTTGCAGCAGAATCCAACAGGCTGTTCTTCCTCCGTAAAATATTTTCTAAGTACAGAGATTATTTTGATATTTAGATTTAAAATATCCTTTGTGAAATACCAATAAAACTGCAACCAAATTTTGGACATCTTAATAAAAGTGAGAGTTCATGATAAATTATGTATCTGGAACTATATTTCATTTTAAAATAAATGCAATTAGTGTATCTTTAAAAAATTTTTGTGTACATATATACATTAGCCTGGAAAAGCAAAAAAAATGGCCTTAATTTCAAGAACATTTGTTCCTAAAATAGTTAGATACAAAGGGGATGGGGAAATGGAGAGAATACAGTAAATGAAGCTGAAATGAAAATGATGAAACAGAAGCAAAAAGCAAGGATATATGATCAAGATGCAAAAAAGTATGGCTAACTAATATTAATAATTACCAGGAAACACAATACAAAATTACAGAATTACTGCGCTGTAAGCAGATGTCCATGAATAGAAGGCAAAAATGCTCTTGAGTTGTACATAACAGGGAACTTTCTTTCCTTATGATTTCTTCAATATATACTTGGGAAAAAAGGGGTGAGATAGCACTATTAGCATTTTCATGTTGCTAAACACACAAAAACAACGTGATTCTTAATTTTTAAAAGGATAAAAAATGCCTCCATATCTATTTCCCCTATAGTGTATGACTAGAATCACTTTCAGACTTTTCCATTAAAGTTACTTTCATGTGTGTATTATTTACTTGGAACGTGCCTTTGCCTGAATTATACAGGAAGCCTTGGAGTAGGGGGCAGGACTAGATGACCGTTTTTTCCTTCAATTTTTCTGTACTATATTTGAGGAAGAATCTAGCAACAGGAGAAAGCTCTTTATTCTAGCAAGGTTTTTCCATAAAATCAATTTTGCATGCATTGAACATCTAAAGTTTAGATACCATTAATTAGAAACACAGTTCAAAGAAACAAAGAATTTGAATTCTACCCTCCTTACCACTACTTGTTCAGGTGAAAACCAGCTACCATTGCTCTAATTGTAGTCATGACAATCATAAAATATTCTCTTCCGGCAATAATTCCAACTGAACATTTGTTCATGGCTTCTATTGTCAAGAGAAAGCTTAAAAAACTATGAATATGGCTCTTAAACTATGCTACTCTATACGATACTGGAAATTTTAGCTCATAAAACTTTCAAATGCATTGGTTCTTCCAAAGTACATATGTTCAGAATCATCCAAGAAGCTATCTTATAGAATACCCAATTTATCTTAAATTATATCCAATGATAATGTAGCTGGCAAAACTTCAATTTTTCAAAAAAAAAAAAGTTATAGTAAAATTGCAATATTCTAAATTTATTATGTTGGTTTCAATACTTAACTACTACACCTTTTAAAGATATTCATTCCAAAGAAGCACACTGCCTATATTGGAGGGGGACTTTTTCACAAAACATTATTCTAACTACCGTACTGATTATTAACTTTCTTTTGTAGAAGCCAATATATTAATGCCATACTTCATTGCAAGCTGGGAAAAACTCTCCCAGAGACAACCACGATGAAGGGGAGGCTCTTTATCAAAGAATAAAAACTTGCTTCTCATGCAAATATGAGCAGGTAACCCACTGTGCATAACTAAAGTTTCAAACAGTAGAGTATCAATAAAATATGATTATATATCACTTTATAAAGTAAATGCTATTGCTAGTTTAATCCAATCATAATACTGAACTACTGCTGATTTATTAAAAGGAATTCAAACAGTGCATTTTTTTTTTTTAAAAAAGTCACACTACTGAAGGGGACTTAAAACTTTCAGCTCTTTGCTTAATTTGAAGAGACAGCTAGGTGATCCCTACAATCTTAAAGGCGTACAGCAAGAGCCTGTTTTAGTAAACTCTGGAAAATAAACTCTCTGGCGAACGATAAGTCAAAGAAGGATAGAATAAATTAACTTAAGAACTATTTAATAATAGAATAACATTTACAGTATTAAATATCTGACAAGTTCACAAGTTCATCTATACCTTAAATATTTCAGTAAGGATTGTTGTTTGCATTGTTGTAATCTATTGCATTAGATTACAATATATATATTTTAATCAAAGAACAGAAAAACAAGAGGTTATGCTTTCATAATACACTGGCAGGGTGGGGAAACACTGAGAATAGATAAGAGCCATACCAGACCCTCATTTCTTTAAACAATAAAATGTTAATGGCTCCCCATGAATAGAACAAGAACACACATAGTCTTAACATTATTAACAAAGCTCAATAAAAAATGTGTGTGTGTGAGGGAGAGAGAACTGATTCATAGATACAACTTCTGTCAACACAGACACTGCACCTCTGAGCCTAGATCTATTTACTTTCAAATGAGACTCATCAAATTTGACAGAATTTATTGAAAAACATATCAAAGATTATACACTTTGGGATTCATTTTCAACAGTAAAAAGTGGGTTTCAACTGTTACAAATACATACGAATCACCTCAAGCAATTTCTGGACACACCTTCAGCCTGGAACTGTGTACATGCTGGCGGACACCGGGTACAACAAAAGACATTTAAGCCACTTTATGGAAGTAGAATAGGATTTGCGGAAGGGTCACAGAAGAATGGGATAGGATTAAGACTAGGGGAATAAAGCCAGGTGACCAATACCTGGAAGTTAGCAGACCGGGGTTTTTTTATTTTTATTTTTTGAGTGCATTTTTTAAAAAAATCATCTTTAAAAGATCAGTGAAAAGTGACCGATGAAGAGAGACTTGCCAGAATCAATTCTGAGGTGGGGAGCTTGTCATTTTTTATTCCTTTCAAGACAGCTTTAATTAAAGATAGCCTCTGCTATCTGTGGTGATGATGGATGATTTTGCAGTGGTTATGTGGTGTGTTTTCCCACCCACCCCTCTCTCTTTCTTTAATAAGCCATCTACAAAACAGAGCCTTTTAAAAACACACGTAGGACAGACAAACAAGATGACAGCGCCTGGTGTCATTTACCTCCTCGACGCAGAGGAGAAGTCAACAACCCTTCCATCCTGGCGGGGTGAGACGGCGTGTCTCTCCAACCCGCACCGGGAGGGAAGTTAAAGGTCTCGTAAGAGAGCATGGCAAAGAAGGTGCCGGGAAGAGATGAGGGTGGTTGGCAGCCTCCGGGAAGGGAAAGCCTGATGTCGCCTCCTGAGCAGGTCTCTTCTGCTACCATCACCACCCCTTAGTCCGAAACCCTACCTCAGAGCACCCCCACGCTACCACTCCTGGTCTTGCACATCACCCAAAAACACCCAAGCAGGAAGTTTTCCATGCAGGCAGCGAGCGCAGGCGCGAGGGATTTCATGAGCCAGGCGTTCAATCCACTGGAGGCGACTTACTCTTCTTGGCAAAGCCCAGCTCGACTACCACGAGCGAGCCACCCACGGGGCGCGCGAAGAAGTGTGCCGCGCGAGACGCCTCTCGGCCAGCCAAACCCGGCAGCCTCTCCGCGCTCCTCGGGCTCTTCTTCTTCCGCGGGGCCGCCAGAAGCCCTCCCCGAGCCCCGCTCCTCCCCAACACCTTTCGCGGCTCCCTCTTCCGTCCTTACCTTTTCCACCACAGGGTTGTGAGCACCGGCGCGGGAGGGAGGGGAGGCGACACAGGCGCGCAAGTGTGCGTGTCCTTGTCGGGCGAAAAGCGGCTTCCTCCCCCCCACCTTCTTCAGACTGGCGGAGGAGGAGGATGCACAGAAACAGCAGGGGGAGGAGGAGGAGGAGGCGAAGGAGGCGGCGGCTTAGGCATTGCAGCCTCTCTTCCCACCACCCACCGCCGCCGCCAAACCCCACACAGCTGGGGCTGCTTTCTCTCAACTCCGCGGCGCGACGAGGAAGAGGCCGAGGTGGCGAGGTTGCAAGGCGCAGAGCGAGAAGAGCCGCCGCCGTCGCCGCGGGGGCACTTGGGGAGACGGAGGCAGCTGGCGCAGAGTCGATTGCATGCTGCTCCCTTCTGGCTCCGTCCTATTCACACACTGGCCGCTTTAGCTGGGGAGGGAGGCGGTCTCCGCGCCCGGACGAGGGGCGGGCAAAACCAATCACGGGCGTGGAAGGGTGGGACGAAGAGGAGGAGGGCGGGACAGGCGGCGCGCTCGGCCCTCCAGCCGCTACCCGGTCTCCGCCGGGCGCCCCCCTACTACCCTCCCGCGCGAGGCGAGGCTGGGCCCACCCAGCCCAGCCTCTCCCTCCGGGGAAGGGTCGGAGTCGGCAGTTTGCACCCGAAGGCGAGCAGCGCCGTTGATCCCGGCTCGATGGTGGTTGGTTCCCCCCCCCCCGGGTTGCTGCAAGCAGCTTGCGTTCCTTTTCTCTCTCCCTTCCGCTCCCCCTTCTCGGCCTGACTGGCGGCTGAGCTGTGCCATCCTGCAGGCGGCAGAACCTGCCGGGCAAAGAGCGTGTTTCTTTTCCCCTCCAGAGGCTGCGAGGCGAGAGGGGGGAAGAGATCGGCAGCAGCGCTTCTGCTGATAAAGTTACCCCGGCGCAGAGACCGAGCAGATCCCGCAGTTGGCGCGAGAATAGAGACCCGGCGAAAGAGCCGCCGGCTCCGTCGCCCGCGGGCTGCTCTCCAGCCCGGCGCTTGCTCCAAACGAGCGCGGTATTTCCCCGATCTTTTTATCGTCCAACGGCGCGCACGTTCTCCTCCTTTACGCGTGGTTTCTGGGAGAGAAGAGCCGCTGGTGATGCGTTTCTTCCCCAGGACCTGCTCCAACATTTCCGAGGTATCATAACCAAGGGCTGTAATGTTCACCTCGGTTACGCTTACCACCACAATCTTTGCTAGTACTGCCTGTATCATCTACAGTACTGTAGGCGGGCGATGGAAGAGCAGCCCTCTGCGAGGCTGTCTCGGATCCTTGCTACTTTGGGATCGGTGTGAATCAATCACTGGAATAACCCAGAACTCAACGTACGGTAGTCGGGTTTCCCGAGCTATGACTGGCAACCCGATCCTACGAGTCCTTAACATTCACTCTTCCCACTCGGTTTATTAGTTACGACTTCAGAAGAGGCAGCCTAAGTTACTTTCGACCGCTAAATACATATTTCCCAATCGACCAGACCAGGCTGCCACTGAAATTAGTGAGCGACTTTCTCTTAAAAAGCCACTAATAAGCTAGTTATAAACAATTTTACCAGATATCTACCTACTGTAATACCAAAACATTCAATATGAAATATTAGACCTGGAACGTGTGTTCACTGGCAACAACTCCAGACTGAAATTTAAGCTCCCTTAGAATCATCTGCATTTTAGACGTTCCAAGTCACTTAATTCTTTGGGCTGGGAACTTTAGACATCTCTCTCTTTTTCCTTTTAACGTGTGTCAGTCACTTGGAGGTAAGTAGCATTAGAAATGTTTTCAAGTTGGAAGCTTGTACGTGAGGCAATTTAATGGCAGCAACAGACCTTCTTCGGAGTAAGTGATTTGTAGATTGTAGCTCTTGATTTATCAAATCATATGTTGGAGGCAGAGGACAGGAAGCAACCAGCACACTTGAATGCCTGTTAGAGACAGATGTGCTCTTCCATTCTGAAAATAAGAGTCATGCTAAATAACAGTCATAATAGCAATCAGCTGTGATGAGCAGGGGAAGCAAAGTATGGAAATCAGTGGCTTGTGGACCGATTGAAAGTGAAAAATGTGCTTTAAAACAAAGGACCAATAATGGCTGGAAGAAAAGAAGAAAGTGGCTTTGGAAAGATGCCTTTTCTTCCCTTAATGTTTGCTAGCACAAAAATGTTTTATTAAGTATTATTAATTATTTTAGTTAAGTATCATGCAGCCTGAAATGGAAAACTTGATAAGTTGCTGGGTAGATTAACACTGAACTTCTAATTACTTCAAGGAGATGGGTGAGAATAAAACATACAGATGTGGATGTAAATTATTTAAAAAAAAAATCAAACATGGTTCATTAGTCTTGAGTCTTATTTGCCTACAACAAATACTTGAACTGGAACCTAATGGGAAACCTCAGTAGGTAGTTGACGATATATAACTTGGCAATCTCTGAGCAATATTCAGATCTAGAAGATGTGAATCAAAAACCTTCAACAATATCAAAGGCTGGGTGGTCTTAGAAAACTAACCTGGTGTATTATGAGACTTTAAGATATAGCCCAAGAGTTCCAAATGGTTACCTGATGACAAATTAAAATTGACATATTACATGGACATGGAAGGAAAACCAGTTACTTTTGAAGCAGGAGACTATCTTAAAGAATACAGTAGTGATGACACATGAATTTTCCCACTTAAACTTTCTTTTGGGTATGGGAGAACCATCTTAAAATCTAAGTTGTCTTCTTTTCCAGGAAATATATATTTTTAAAGAGATTAATTTTAAACTTTTGTCTTTGTTGGAATAATGTTTCTATACTGTGAAAACGGACGGTGTTCCCTTCTGATTTGATTTTTCCAACACATACCTTGGAGTCGTCGCAGTTCTGAAATACTGTGAGGACACAAAATTTGTAAAGGGTTAATGGTCAATGACATGCAAGACTGAGTTCTATAGATGAGAATAATACAGTACATTTGAAGCTGGAAGAGCGTTAAATAATTTTATAATGCATTCTATTGGAAAGAATCATGCCTTAGTAGAAGATATTATGGCATGTACATTATGTCAATGTCAGTTCCAGGCAACTCCTGTTAAAACAATAAACAAATGAACCAGGTTGATAGTTGCCGAGACTGGAAATTTGTCCTCTGAGACTCATGGAAGCTTTAGCCTATCACAGTGACCCCTGGGATAGAGGGATTAATTCAGCATTATGCAAGTGGATCTCTTTTTGTGCAGCAGAAGTTTCTTTCTTCATTCTTGCAGGCCTTCGACATGCCCTCTCACTTCTCTCTGCTTAGAGGTTAATTATTTTGTGGACTAAGAACATTACTGGGGTAGCCTATGAAAGGATTGTGTCTTCTTTCTTTTCCCTTCCCTGTATATGTCTCCATGTGTCTCACTGAAGATATATTTTTTTTTATTCAAAGGGCAGCCAAAGACACTCTACAATTTCAACTGGCTTCTATTTTAAGAGCTTACAGAGAAATATAAGAAAGGGAGTCATGAATGCTAAAGGTGTCGATCAACAGGTTGCATCTAATTGATAGAATTAGCAGCACACAGGTTGCCTTCTCAGTCTTCTCCCACTATGATTACAGGTAACTCATTTGTATTTAAATTTTATTTTATATGTGTATCTACACAAACGCATTAGCATATCCATACATCAAATATGCCATCTTATAAGATGTAAAATGATACTATAATCCTAGTATACATAGTGATTACTTCAAATTTATACTAGGAAACCTGATTCTGTGGAATAAATGAAATTTACACATCACTATTTGTTGTTGAGTAACAAGTTGGGTAACAAAGTGGTAGGCAGGTGTTGTTCAGTATTATTTGAAAAAGGTTTTATTGTGATGTTGAAAAAGAAAGGTCAATTGAATGTTTTGCTTTCTCTAAGTTTTTACAGTGTAAATTATCTTGAGATGTTCTTGAAAAGTGGTTAGAATGTTGAAATTGCCTTCAAAATAATATTAGGGTTACTGTTCTTGTTGCTAAAGAAGATTAAATATTTTAGTGTTAGCAACTTCTCAAAATTTCAAAAATTTTTCAACTGCCTTTCATTCCTATGGGTGCCAAGGTAATTGACAAAGACATTCATAGCATTTGCACCTATATAATGCAATGAAGTTTTTTATAATAATTGAAATAAATGTGACAGATAACAAATTGAAAAGCACAAAACAGGCAGGGAGGACATTACCATTTAAAATTACTTTGCCAATAAATACAACACCAACAGGTTGTAAAGTACTGGAATGCCGGATATATTGTAATATAAATTCACCTCCTTATTTAAATGTAAATGCTGGAAATTAGATGACCAGTTAGTGATCATGTTACTAGGAAGCTTTGAAATTATAATCCATACTATCCTAAAACAATATAAACTTTTTGATTGTATAAGAACACTGAGAATACAACAGCTTTTTATAAAATAGTAGGATACAAAATGGCTAGGAATTATTTGTAGAAATATCATTACATGTCAAATTCTGAGAGAGATGAGATAGAGAATATTTCTTACTGAGATAAAGGAAGCAAAAGTTTCCAGCAAAGTATTTTATTGTACTTCAAATAAGTGCTCTTTTTTAATGTACGTAATTTAGTCTTATATTTATAATGCGGATTGAGGAAAAGATACAACATGGGTTTCTTTGGTATTTTATGGTACTACAATCAGGTAACAGCTGATATTTTTGGATAACCTAGAACAGATTAAATATCTTGAATGAAGCTTTTGACCATCATCCCACTTTTCCATTGTAACAATTTTCAGGTATGAGGCATTCAATATTATGTAATCAAATGATACACATATGGATAAAACTAGTCATGACTCCTAGGGAATTTGTATTATAAAATACATAAATTATTTAAAAATGCAAATCAAGTACATTTTTAGTAAAATTGAAAAAAATTAAAGAAGAGCCCCCAAAGGCTGCAGGTCCTGATAATATCTCTGGGCAAGTACTTAAGGGGTGTGCTGACCAGCTGGCCTCTATTCTTACGGACATTTTCAATCTTTCATTGCATCAGGCCGTGGTTTCATCATGTTTTAAGACTGCAATCATTGTATCAGTCCCCCCCAAAAAAATCTATAATTACATCCCTTAATGTAAGGTGACCAACCGTCCTCCTTTTGGGAGGACAGTCCTCCTTTTTTGAGTTCTGTCCTCCTTCAAAAAGTGTCCTCCTAAATGTCCTCCTTTTCCATATACCGTCCTTCTTTTAGGAGGACAGTCCTCCTTTTGTGAGTTCTGTCCTCCCTGGAAAATGTCCTCCTAAATGTCCTCTTTTTCTATACTTGAAGACTTATCTGCAGGGCTTTTTTTCCCTCATAGAACGCCCAAAAGGTGTTCCAGGACCTTTTTTTGATGGTTTTTTTCAACTTTTGCCTGAGCTGTGCTACTCCCCCTATTGGCTTTCGAAAGCCAATAGGAATTGCTGCTGAGTGTGCCAAAACACCCAGGCGGCAAACTTTGCACGTGCAAGTTGCAGGAACTTTGCACCCCTCACTGCTACCCAACTACACCATCTCTTACTTAGTTCCGCAGATAGCTGGAGGAGACTGGAGTGGTAAGTTTCTCTTGATCTTCCCTGTTCGGTTCTACACGGGGATGCACAGGGTAGGAGGTGGTGCTGGGGGGTGGCTGCAGGGCCGGAGCCAGCGCGGCTGGTGCTTTGCGAGCCACGGGGCCGGCTCTACAAGGATGCGCAGAGTGGGCAGTGGTGCTGGGGAGCGGCTGGGGAGACAGCTGCAGGGCCGGAGCCGGAGCAGCTGGTGCTTTGCCTTTGCGAGCTGTGGGGCCAGCTCTATGGGGATGCGCAGGGTGGGAGGTGGTGCTGGGGGGCGGCTGCAGGGCCGGAGCTGGCGCAGTGGTGCTTTGCCTTTGCAAGCCGTGGGGCTCGCTCTACGGGGATGCGCAGGGTGGGCAGTGGTGCTGGGGGGCGGCTCAGGACCGGAGCTGGCTTGGCTGGTGCTTTGTGAGCCGCGGGGCCGGCTCTCCACGGCAGGGCAGTGGTGCTGGCGGGGTGGCTGTGGGTGGGGGCGCGGTGGGCAGTTGATCTTCCATGGGCCGCGCCAGCTGGTGGTCTATGCAGTGCTGACCTGCGCTGCCATCACCTCACCCTGCGCATCTACGTGGCCATCCTGGAGCACCTGGCTCACAACACCTGCCTCCGCCGCCCACCCCCGCGCAGTCCAGCCATGTAGATTTTTGGACAAGTGAGAAATCGAGATTGAATGTTGATACTCTAGCTGCAGCACTTGCCGTAAAATTCAATATGAAGGATATTTCTTGTTCAGATATTTCCAATATATTGTTAGAAGATGATACATTGACAAAAAATATTCATTCAATGGAAAAGTACTCATTTAAATAATTAATAGGCATATAAGCATAATTACAATATAAAATGTTATTTTTACAAATGTTTTTTATTATGCATTGATCATATTATAGTGCAGTGGTTCTCAACCTGTGGGTTGGGACCCCATTTGGGGTCAAACGACCATTTCATGGGGGTCACCAAACCATACTGTCCGCCATTTTTTTCCCTTTTCCCTAGCTGTCTTACTCCCTCTTATTGGTGGCCATACCCACTTGGGGGTCACCACAACATGGGGAACTGTATTATGGGGTCACGGCATTAGAAAGGTTGAGAACCACTGTTATAGTGTATTCTGTATTATTGTTGCAATAAATGCAATGTTTCTTTTATTTACGATATTTTTTTCTTCAATTTATTCGTGTCCTCCTTTTTTTATAAAAAAGTTGGTCACCTTACTTAATGTTTATTGTCCAGTTGCACTCACTTCCATTATGATGAAGTGTTTTGAGAGATTGATAAAGAGTTATATTGCTTCATGCCTTCCCGCTACATTTGACTCATTATAGTTTGCTTATCGGAAGAACCGCTCTATAGATGATGCTTCATCTTAGTTTGACGCACCTGGAGGGGAAGAACACTCACATGCGAATGCTGTTTGTTGTTTTTAGTTCAGAGTTCAACACAATCATTCCTCAACATTTGGTGAACAAATTGGATCTATTAGGCTTTAATACTTCTTTACATAAACTGGATACTTGACTTCCTTATTGATAGGCTTCAGTTTGTGCAAGTTGGAAGGAAAGTTTCCAACCCATACTTTTTGAGTATGGGTTCCCCACAGGGCTGTGTTTTGAGTCTGTTATTGTTCACCTTGATGACCTATGACTGCTGTGCCAAGTCTGCTATGAATCATATTGTGAAGAATGTGGGTGACACAGCAGTGGTTGGATGATAACAAAGATTCTTATAGGGAGGAGGTGAAGACTTTGGTGGACTGGTGCAATAAAAATAACCTGGTTTTCAATGTTAATAAAACAAAGGAGATCATTGTTGATTTTAGAAAGAGACGCCATAGTCATACTCCACTCTGTATCAAGGCTGCAGCTGTGGAGGTGGTCTGTCACCAACAATCTTACTTGGTCTCTTCATACGTTATCTTTAGTGAAGTGTTTGCATTTCTTGTGTTGGATGAGGAGAGCACATCTTTCTCCTTCTGTCCTGGCCACCTTTTACAGATTGAAAGCATGATTGAAAGCATTTAAACAAACTGCATCACTGTTTGGTTTGGTGGTAGCAGTGCCTCAAAGAGAAGGTCCATACAGAGAGTGGTAAGGACAGCTGAGAAGATTATAGGAAGCTCGCTTTCCTTTATTCAGGACACTGTTTATAAACACTATGTGCTTAGAGCTCGAAGCATTGTTAGAGATACCACACACCCACTTCACAGTCTGTTCCTTCTGGGAGGAGGTGTCAAAGTACTAGATTCTGAAACAGCTTTGTTCCTTATGCCATCCGTCTTGTAAATTCACAGGATTCTTTTTTTTTTTGCCATGTATATGTATACATTCAAACTAGACTGTCATGTTTCTCTGTGTCATATATGTGTGTGTATGTGAGTATATGCATAATGGTTATCCTTTGATAGCCATTTCATTTTAATATATACTGATTAATTTATATTTAAAGTGACAAAGATTTCTAGTCCTAATCCAGTCTAGTCTATAAAAATTGCAAATCAAGTACATTTTCAGTAAAATCGGTAAAATTAAGGAAGAAGCCAAAATTCAGTACCAATGGCTGTTGCAAATTTTGATTTCAATACATATAGCCAGTATTTTTAAGAGGAGAAAACATTTCAAGAACAATTAAACATGACACTTTTAAACATTAAAACATATCTCGTAAACATATGAAAGGATCTGATTATTGTTTATTATTTTAGTGATATAACTACAGGTAGTCCTCAATTTACAATCACAACTGAGCTCAAAATTTATGTTGCTAAGCAAGACAGTTGTTAAGTGAGTTTCCCCCATTTTACGACCTTTCTTGCTACAGTTATTAAGTGAATCACTGCAGATGTTAAGTTAGTAACACAGTTATTAAGCTAATCTGGCTTCCCCATTAACTTTGCTCATCAGAACATCTCAGAAGGTGATCGTGTGAACCCAGAACATTGCAACTGTCATAAATACATGTAAGTTGCCAAGCGACCAAATTTTGATCATGTGACCACAGGGATGCTCTAAGGGTT